AGAGAACACTCAGTACTGGGAGAAGGATAGAGGTGTGGGTTATAGAGTTATATAGATATAGAGTCTGCCAAAATAAATGTAGAAATCAAAAATGGTAGCGTGCTCTGTTCTTTATGCTACTGTCCCGATTTTTTTAAAGAATGAAGGAAATTTTTAGTGAAAATAAAACAATATTTTTGAAAATGAAATATGAATAACATTAATATTATCTACTATATTCTTTTGTATTTTGAACCATTACTTCTCTTTCCATTGAAAAAGAGATAGTATATATATATATATATATATATATATATATATATATATATATATATATATATATATATTAGTTTCTATATCTTTTTTTCTATTTTTCTTTATATTTCTTTATTATAATAAAACCCGTTAGCTATTTTTATTTACTAACATTTATTTACTTATCACTAAGTATACAAAATTTAAGTATTGTATATAGTTGTCTCGCTTGCATCAAATATTATACACTGCTCATCCTCGCTCGGGTTTGCTTCTAAAAAAACAAAAACAAATCTATCCCACGGGATTACACAGGTCCCACAACGTACATGTTTTCAGGATAAAAGTAGCTTGTGTGTTATTCTGATATATGAACCATATTATTGTAAAGTTTCATCAAAATCCATTCAATAATTTCTGCGACAGAGTAACAAATATACATACATCTATACATCCAGACATACAGACATGGTCACAAACTTTCGCATTTATAATATTAGTAGGACAGGTTTTTTATGATAACGATATTTTTTTATCAAAAAATCTCGCAGTAATATCGTTAGCTATCTCATAAGTAAAACGAAGTCACGATAAAACTTTGCTTTATAAAAATATTAGGTTAACCTTTAATTTTTGAGATCCACAAAGCTTTTAAGAAAATTGAAATAGCGCTTTCCATAATGTGTTCTACGGAACCCGCATTACATGGTTACCGCTTCTAAATTGGGGGTCCGTAAGTCATCAAATTGCGGCACAGAATGTTTGTGAATTCTCTGGATAACGAAATCGCTTTATTTTCATTTTGAGAAATTATACGCTGGCAAATTTATTAATTAAACAGACCCTACGAGACAGAGATTCTCAAACTTCTATGAGAAGTTTATTCTAATTTTGCATTTGAAATGTACTTGGTTAGTTGTGGGAGAATTCACTACTTTACATCTCAATTATCGTTTGTTATTTATTCATTTCGGTGTATTACATTTGTAAGTAAAACTAGTAGATACCTCGGTTTTGTCTATATTCGTTAGTTTATTTTCTATGTTTTTAACGATTCCAATTACATTTTGTTGTTAATAAACAATTTTTTTACGATATTTATTGTTAAAATATATATAGTTTTAATTATTAATTCGATTCAGTGAAACTTTGATATAATGAATAATTTAAGATTTTAGTTATTAAAATAAGGCTGTGGTAGAACAGTGATAAAGTGCTCGTTCGAAAAACTAAGTGAATCGGTTTTAAATCCCAGATCTCGCACCTCTTATATTTTCATGTGCTAATTGTTTTTCAACACAATTACCACTCGCCTGGCGATGAAGAAAATCATTTTCAGTAAACCTGCATGTTTGAATCTAACCGGTTTTTGACACACATGTGAAACTTTCTTTAATATAACTTACGCAAATATTTGACATTTTAAATGATACTATATTTTCGGATTTTGTCGCGGTTTTATTTTAGACGATACGTTTGGCTCAGTTTTTAGAGACCCTACTTGATGTGCCAGCGGTCGCGGGTTCGAATCCCGCTGGGGGGATTCATTTGTGCGATAAGCACGAATGTTTGTAATCCAGTCATGGGTGTTTATATTTGTAATATGTACCTATGTATTTAAAAGTTACATATGTGTTAACTGTCTGGTATCCATAACATAAGCCTCGTAGCTTACTAAGGAACTAGATGTTGCTGTATGTTAATGTCATATCATATTTATAATTTTATTTTTATTTTGGTTCTCGACGTTTCGAATTCTTTTCAGGAAATATGATCACGGGAGAGACTTGTATCTCTCTGAGTAAATCCGAAAAGATAGTTACATTTAAGACACGTAAAGTCCACAAACACACAAATCGCCTAACTGGGATGTTAAAAAAGCTCAATGAGAATGATTATTAAATAGTTATATCTTTAGCAAATTTATAAGTCAAAAATTATATTAAAACTTTGAGGATTGGTGCCATAAAATATTATGCGGTAAGTTCAATACAAATATAATATCGGTTCGAAGCGTTAATTGTCTTGACATGGAATGCTATCAAACTTTGCTTTGACTAATTAATATATCTTCATTATTTACCTATTTCGCCAATAATATTTTCTATTTATTACTATTTACCCGTAGCCCTGTTCACTTGGTACTGCTGTATTATAAAAATAGCTAGTCTAAAATGTCGGGATTTTTCGTAAGCAAGAGTATTTCTAATTTTGATCGATTTAAAAAACAGGTTTTCATATAAAATTCCAACCCCTCCACGAACTCTTTAGTGTTTGAATCTGCAAAAAAACTCTCTTAAGGGATACCTATTACCCAATAAGGAATGTACCTGTCAAATTTCAAGTTATGTCAAGTCAATGAATGAGTGGTATTTAGCTTTTATATATGTATACATATAGATTTTGCGGTATACCAGTTTCCCGGTATAAAACTGACTGGCACACGACATTGATGGTTCAATAAAATTGATTTAATCGTTGTAAAGAAAAGTGTGCGTAAACAGACAGACAACTTTTTAATGAATGTTTAGGCTTTGGTATCAGCTGTAGACTTGGAGAATGGTTTGAGCAATACTGTCATGAAATTGACCACTCTATAGAAAGAGAGAAAGCGAACGTGCAGCCAATACCTGTATTTTATTCCTATTTGAAATTATAAATGAAATTAAAAAAATATATTATATAATTAAAAAATATTATAATAATGGCATGTAAAATGGTTATAAATATTTATCTGCAATAATCGTATACATATCAATGAATACAAAAGACTTATGGCCGCACATTCGTTTTGTCTCTGTCGCTTTGCCGCCATTTTTAGCTGACAACTGGCAAAGAAACACTCAGTTCGCTCTCTATGTCTAAAAAAAAAGAATCCTGATATGGTGCAGCCATTTTGTGATTATAGACTGAAAAATCAAAATAATCATAGATGAAATATTGAGGTGAATTAGTTAGACGAGTAAACTTCTTGATATATTTGTACGCTGCCCTTGCTTAAAGTCTTAAAAAATTATGTTAATTAATACTTAATATTATATTTTAAACGGTAAGACAATAATTTCTATAGTAATATTTATTTCATACTAGAATATTGCTGCTACCGTACGTAAACCTAATATTGCCTTTACTCAAAAATTATTTGTTAACACCATAAATAATAATATTACAGAGAAATGTTTCTGACAAGCCCACAATAAAATAAAACTTTAAAATTCTACAAGAAAAAATTATAATTCAGTCATAAACTGAAAGCAGTGTTATCAAATGTCCAATTTTCACTCGATCCTCGATTGAATTTTCTTTAGATTTTCTACAGGTCAAAATTGTCTACATCAAAGCGTGTAACCGAATATCCGACCTTTGAGTACAGAAAGAATATGTAATGGGATCGACCTCCCTAATGAGTAATATTAGATAGCAATACTAAGGCGCAATTTTTATTTATATATTCTAATTGAAAATTTTATTAAAAATTATTAAGTTATAGTAACATTTAAACATATAAAGTGTATTTACGCTTACTAAAAGTAGTTTGTAGAATCGTATATAGCGAACAAACTTTGAATTACATCCTTGAGTTTGTAGGTTCGATTTCCATAAGAGGCAAATTATCATTTATCTCCATCATCAGATTAGGTAAATTATCAGAATAATGTCTTGTCTCTTATGTAATGTTAGGAGACCAATCACATGTATTTAAAATAACCACACTTTACCAAACGTTTATTTGACATTTACGCAGTCCTCAATTATTTGTAATCCTAATTTGCTTAAAAACTTAATTATCTTCGTAATTAATTTAGGAACTTTACAAACATATAGAAAAAAGTTATTTATATTTGTACGTAGCTTCAAAGAAATCTGTATATGTACATTATCGTTTTTACAATTATTTTTAGAATGTCAAGATGGGGAAAATTGTGTAAACAAGTCAATCAAAATATATCAAAATATTCTAATACTTTCTTTCGAGATATATTTATGGCACGCCTTTTACATCAAAGGTATTTTCTAACAAATATGTATATAAAGAAGCAATTCTACATAGGTATGTATATAATAACAATCTTCATAACTTATGTTCAGTAAATTTTGGAAATGAATATTTGGATTTCTTTATTATTACTTGTGTCTATTTTTGTTGATGGTATTATAGTTGACTAAATTCTATGTACTTTGATGGTGGTGTCTAGGCGATTAACTAAAGTTTCATCGCAGTTGCTTTAATGGTTTTGGAAAATTATAAGTGAATAGTATATTTGATAACACGTTTGGCTCTGTTTGTACTTTGTAGTGTACTTACTTGCTGTGCCAGCGGTTGCGGGTTCGAATTTTGCTGGGTGCATTCATTTGTGTGATGAGCACGAATGCTCGTACTCCAGTCATGGGTGTTTATATTTATAATATGTATTTACTTAAAGATATTTTTGTGTAGTGTATCAACTATCTGGTATCCATAACACAAGCCTCGTAGCTTACCATGGAACTAGATGGTGCTGTGTGTTAATGTCCCAACATATATTTTTTTTTAATTATTCATACATTCTTTCTAATCTAGATCATAAATTCATAATATTGCGTAGTTATTTCTTTTTAATTATTCTTAGAATGTGAACATTGTTAAATATTACATCGAAGAAACATTTAAAGTATGCATTTTACTTTTTATCATCGTAAGGTATTTCGTCGAGTATATGTATAAAAAGCAACTGGCGAAATATATAAATATCTGTAATTTTTGTTCACTAAAGTAATTTAAAAAAATGATTTCTTATATATTCTTCTATTTATTTGTGTCAGTGTTGGCAAATGACAAATGTGAGTATTTTTTTTTGTTTTTGGCATAGACGGGATTTGTATTTAGTAAAATTCACTTTTTCAAATACCCACTGATAACAAAAACAGCAGCTACTGCTGGTTTTAATATTGTTCATAACTTGTACGGTACAAGTATTAAATAATTCAAAAAACGCGCACACGAAAACAACTTAATTCATCCAGTTTTTAACTAATGAGGTAAATTGAAAATAATTTTGGCATTCAATTATTTCTGTTATCTACGTCTGATAACTGATAAGTCTTCAAATTAGTCAAATAGTATAATAATATTTTTGGCTTGCGATAGTGGAAATAGACTTTCTATGCTATCAATTTTATAGCATACATATGTGTTTATAACATCTCTGTGGCAAACACATTTGGATTGGATTTGGCATTTGACATTTGGAACAAAAAAATTGGATTTGTTCTATTTCTCTCCTTACATCCCCCTGACTCGGTTTTTAGCATTTTTTTTATGAACAGACATTCGACCTCTACATTTTTATTATATGTATAGATTTATTAATAATGCTAATTTTCCAGCAAATGAAATAAAGTCTCGTATTTTCTATGGAGAATCTGTTAAAATAGAAGATTACCCGTTTTACGCCGGTCTCGCTAACTGTGGTGCCGCTATACTATCTGATGTTTGGATCTTGACTGCGGCCCACTGTGTTGTTAGAGTGTAAGTGTGACTTTATTTTGTTAAATACAATATTACTCTTTCATTATATATATATTTTCTCTGTAATTATATGGTGAGTTTTACCTTCATTTATTCATTCACTCACTGACACTAATACACACAACAAGACACGTATTTAGTAACAAAAAGTTTTGTGTAAAAGTTTTATATATAAATAAAAACTTTTTAACAAAAAAATAAAAACCGACTTCAAACAAAAGCACTTAAAAGTGAAAAATAACTGATTGGTAGTTTTCATTTACTATACATACCTAATCAAATATTTTCGAAGTCGGTGTGCTTTGCTTTGTATGGGCTGGCACCGATTTCGAAAATATTTGATTAGGTATGTATTTAATAGGTAGGCTTTAATTACTTAGCCAAAGCACACCGACTTCGAAAATATTTGATTAGGTATGTATAGTAAATGAAAACTACCAATCAGTTATTTTTCACTTTTAAGTGCTTTTGTTTGAAGTCGGTTTTTATTTTTTTGTTAAAAAGTTTTTATTTTTCCCTTTTTAGTGTAGACAGTAGTAGCAAAGTAAGGATTCTAACGTGTTAGGCTTGTCAAATCAAACAAAATAAGCCCAAACTCAAAGTATCTACTATTAGCCGTTGAAGAGTTCCACCAATCCACCTTCTGGCCTTGCCATCAGATCAGGTCAACAACATCTAACCACTGTACTATCAACGAAAATAGAAATACTTGCAAAGTTTCAAGTCAATATGACAATTAGAAGTAGGTTAAATTCATTATTAGTTGTTTTTCCACCCTTAGGGGTGGTATTTTTTTTTTGAAATTTAAATGGGACCAATCTGGAAGTATACCCTTTCAAACAAAACAAAAATTTTCCAAATCCGTTAATAAATGACGGAGTTCTGAGGTAACAAACATAAAAAAAAAAACATACAGTCGAATTGAGAACCTCCTCCTTTTTGAAGTCGGTTGAAAAGAATGCTTATTAAGATTTATGTATTTAATGTGGTTTAATAGAGGGAGAGAATGTGTACGTGTATCATTTTAAAAAAGATAAATTTAAGAATTATCATATAAACTAAAAATAATTTAATTATTACTTTTAGTTTATATGATGTCACATATTTTTGGCCACTAAAAATATCCGATTTTTCTGAATTGAGCTGTGAAGCATATATTATTTTAATGACATTTCTTTTGATTTTGGATTTAACTCCTCCAGGTAAATTTCTGAGAAATTAATTAAATTTCTAAGAAATCTATTCTTAACTGTAACGCCGGCGTGTCGTTACAGTTAACAATAGGTCGTGGAGGGACTAGGAGGCGATAAATATTTTTACACCCGGCGTGGCATCTTAAGTTAAATTGATGACACGTTAAATTTGACGACACGTTTGGTTCAGTTTGTAGTAACCCTACTTACTGTGCCAGCGGTCGCGGGTTCGAGTCCCGCTGGGGCCATTCATTTGTGTGATGAACATCAATGTTTGTACTCCAGTCATGGGTGTTTATATTTATAATATGTATGTATTTAAAGTTATATATGTGTAGTGTATCAACTATCTGGTATACATAACACAAGCATCGTAGCTTACCATGGAACCAGATGGTGCTGTGTGTTAATGTCACATAATGTCACAAATAGTTTTGTTTTTTTTTCATATTATGTTGCCACTTGTATATGTCTTCCACAAATGATTACATATTTTTTTCTGTATATATTATTATACATATATCTTTCCATGGTAATATGTAAAAGTTCGTGACTAAGTGCTAGTACTTTTGGGGTTGTTACGTAAAAATAATGCATTGAGTATTATAAAATACATACATCCAATATTGAAGACAATTTATTTATTATAGTACAGTTTTTAACCCCCGACGCAAAAACGTGTCTGTGTGTGGCATCATAGCTCTCGAACGGATGAACCGATTTGGATTTTGTTTTTTTGTTTGAAAGGTTAATTAGTCGGGAGTGTTCTTAGCTATGTTTAATGAAAATCGGTAAAGATGGCCTCCGCCACAAAATGGCGGATTACATATTTTTTTCATAACTCTCTCAATATGGGTATTAAATGAAAGGGCTAACTAGTAGATACACTATGATAAAATTCAAATCCAAGATGGCTGCCACCACAAAATAACGAATTACATGTCGAGTTTTTTTAATTTTTAATTTAATTCATATTTGTCATAAAATATCATCAGATATAAACAATTTAGTCTTGAATACGATGAATTTTGAATTTTGCAGTCCTAGGTTAGCTAATTACGTATGGGTTGGTGGTGAATCATACGCCAATAGCAAGAAGGTTACATACAACCAAGTGATAGTACATCACAAATATAAATATGATAACATTATACCACTCCATGATGTTGCATTAATAAAGCTATCGGAGCCTTTGGAATTGTCAGAGAAAGTTAAACCTATAAAGCTACCAAGTACACAGTCTACAGGCACTAAAATAGCATTAGTTGGAAGAGGTGTAGACGAGGTGAGTTGTAAAACGACACATATTAGTTATTGAAATGGAACATTTCTTAAATAATGTTTAATAATCACATATTGTCTTTTATTATTTTCTAGACAAATCATATATCTGAAAACTTGAAAAAGCTGGATCTCGTCAGGCTATCCCCTGAACAGTGCCTAACATACATACCATTCGACCCCATATTGTACAATATAGTTAAGCAAAATCTTAAATTTTTTGGTAAAGCCATCATCTGCGCCAAACGTGAGGAGGATTTGCCAAGTATATGTCAAGTAGGTTAAAAACATATAATTAGAGTAAATGCTTGAAAAATGCAAAATTTGTTCAATCGTCTCTCCCGTGACCATGATTGCTGTAAAGCATTCTAAGTGTCGGGAAATAAAAATGAAAGAAAAATTCAAAAAGACAGTATAATTTAAAATGCCAAATTTTCGCGTAATGTTGTCCGTTGTATTTAATTACCTTCCTTCATACTATAGTACGTGAGATAGTAAGAAAGGGCAGAGTAATAAGCCTTATATTATACAATGTAATATGTTTTATTGTAGTTATAAAAAGCTATTTGGAGTTTAAATCCTACTGTACATAAGTAAGAAAAAGTTCTAAGTGTTTAAACTTCTAGGAGAGATCTCTTTCAAGCTAGTCACACTACATATTTAACAAAGATTTTGTTATTTGTCCATGAGTAAACAACTTGAATCTAATAATGAGCAATCAAATTACCCTTTTCCAAGCTTGTTAAAAACTTAAAAGAAAATATCTATTGTTTGTAATTTTGGACTGTTTTAATTTTTGGAACAGCTGGTACAATTTGAACAGTTTTTCTTGCATTTTATAGCGACTCGCCTTCCTTTTTTTAGGGTGCGTTCCTGGTTTCTTTTGTAATTATTATATTATTGCTAACATTGCCCGCGGCTCCGCCCGCGTTGAGATGACCAAAAACCAAATTCTTAGGTTTTACAGATTAGTATACTCTTACATTGCAGATTTTGAATTTTTTCACAGTAATGAGATATTTTCCCGCGGTAAAAAGTATCGTATATGTTGACCCGGATAAACAGCTATCACCATACCAAATTTCATCAAAATCTCTCCAGTGGGTTTTCTGCGATGCGGTAACAGACAGACAGACAAAAATTCTAGAAACTATAGATTCAGCCTCTGTATCGATAATAATGTTCATTTCTATAAGATTTTCCAAAAAATATTTAATGTACAGATTCGGCTTAGTTACAATTTCATTATATGTAAAGATTTGTTTTATTTCACACCAAAGCATGTCGATAAAGCAACTCAAGGTCTGTTTTTTTACTTCAATTAAAGTTATTATCATTTCTGTACGTACACACAATTTTATGTGAATAAAAATAGCCTTTAGCACAAGGCGCTTATGTTGCTTCCTATTAGGGAATTATATTCATCGTAGGTACTAAGTAATAAGAATTTTCGAACTCGGTTCAGTAGTTTCAGAGCTTACCTTCTAATAGTATAAGTTTAGATTCAATGAGGAAAGCTATAGGCTATCTAACATTAAGCTATAGGTAACTTTTGAAGCGCGAGTGAAGCCGCGGGCAAAAATTAGTTTGATTCTAAGCCACATATTAATGTTATTTATTTTTGCGTTTCAGGGAGATTCAGGCAGTCCGTTATTTAGCAACGATACGCTTATAGGCCTTGCATCCTTCGGTGGTCCCGAATGTGCCGAAAACCGCCTTGGTTTCTACGTGAATGTTCAATCATATGTGCCTTGGATTAAGCAACACACTGGTCTATAACTAGTTAAAATCTATATTTACGTGGCATAGCTTTTTTCTTTTTTTCCTTGGTAATAAATATATGGTCTATATTTTATTTTATTTTTATTATGATGTTCTGATGATGTTCTCCCGACCGATTCCGGCCACGGCGGCCAATCTCATTGAGACTAGCCAACTGCGCAGGAGATATTATAGTGCACAAGTGTACGTGCAGACACAAGTGCACTCTCTATTCCTGTACTCCGGTGGGACGAACACTCGACACGACCAGTGAGAGTTAAGGCGCAGGACCGACGGCTTTACGTGCTCTCCGAGGCACGGGGGTGAAACACCGCCAACTTGCCAACTCCGGGCTGTTACTGAGGCTTACTTATACAGAAAGACTCAATAACTAAACTTGGCCCGACCCGGGACTCGAACCCAGGACCTCCGGGTTTGCAGCCGTACATGCTAGCCACTACACCATGGAGGCAGTTAATTATTTTTATATTATATATTAGTTTATTTTTATACACAAACAACTACGTATCTTATTTGATCAAAAACATTTAAACACTACAAATCCTTGACAAATTTGTCTTTTCATATTTATCCACTCTTTCTCTGAAAGTTGCATCAATTAATAAACATTGTTTTTGAATAATATATTATGTATTATTGTTATACTTATAAGTACTCTGCAGTACGGTACGTAGAAATATTTATGTTTTTTTAAGTAATGCCTATAAAGAAAACACGCTCACGCTCAAGTTAATTTTAAATTCAATTCTTATTTCTCTCCCTCGATATCCATTGGTTTATAAAATATCGTGTAATAAATGTGAGTTTATACCTTTGTTCCCGCGCTAGGAACCGTGAGATATAAAACCTACCAGGAAATTAGATTGTGACCCAATCAATAGAATGAAAGAATTCAATGCTTTGACAATCGATTTTCGCGTGATTATATCAAGCACATATGTACATATTTGTTTTAATATTAGATATTGGATGTGATTTTAGGGTGAACTAGTGAGTTACCCTAGCTTCGATCGTGTGCGTTACTAGGTAGGTTTTTTTTTGAGCGGAACTTTAAATCTTTTCCTTAAATAAAAGTACCCTTTTTTTAACGTTGGGAAATGCATTTACGCACGACGTGTGGGACTCACCGGCGTAATACAGCCAGTACTACCCACTAAAACCCAACAAAACCTTCCCCCGTCTTAATGTAGCGTCGCAGGATCGCTTACGCATTCAACTACGACGCGCCGACGGCAGGTCTGCCAAAGCAGACCACCACAACCATGGGGTTGCTCCAAGGTCCACTCTGCTATCAGAGAAGTACCAGGAGCAACCCGCAAGGTAAACCGCCCCCCGAAGAGGGCCACCTCTCACCGCCCACCGAAGTGGGCCACCTCCCTGTGCGTTTCTTGGCTTCGCGCCCGGTTGGGTTGCCGGGCACTACTGAGCCCCCCCACCACGACAAGGTGAACGCACGTTGGGGGGAAAAATAAAAATAGCCTAAGTTATTCCTTATAAAAGTGAAAGTCCTGTCAAAATCCCGGTCGATTTGCTGACAAACAGACAGTCAGACAAAAATTGGAAAAGTTGTGTTCTTATAAGTACTGTATATCATTTCATATGCATTTAATAAAAAGCTGTTATTTTGACATTATAAGCAGAGACATCAATTTTATTTATCTGTATAAATAGGGTAGTATATAGAAAAAAAAAGAAAAATATTTTTAAAGTTTATTTCAAAATATATCAGAAAATTAGCGTGAAATTTTAAATAAAACTAGAATAAAAAGTTTTAACAATATATAACAAATACGAAACATACATATTACAAGAAGGAAATATGAGGCTTTTCGACCCGACTCGTAGGTCGAGCTTAACACGTTAGTTAAAGTAAGTTAAAGTAAAGAATAAGATAAATAATACTAAGAACGAGAATAGTGAGAAAATATATATGTAGATTATACAGAGTCTATTTCCTCTCTCTTTCTCATAGTTTATAGTAAATTTGCCTAGTTTAGGAGAGATCAGAGGTAGAATACGGATATTATAGAAAGCATCAATAAGTTTTAAAATTTGTCTGTTTGTTGCGATATCGTGTAAAAGTAGGTAAAGGGCAGAGGCATTTTTTTGCCTGTTAGTATTTGTGTGGATGAATTAAATTCTTTTATTATATGCAATTTACTATTTACTTAGTAAATAATGTCTTATATGTTGATACAAATGGCAAAAAAACGTTATCCAGATCAATAAATAGGACTCTTTTTACTGCGGGAAATATCTCATCTCAGAGAAAATTTATAACGAACCCGCGACCGCTGGCACATCAAGTAGGCACTACAAACTGAGCCAAACGTGCCATTAGAAATATATATATACATATATATATATACATATATATATATACATATACATATATACATATATATATATATATATATATATATATATATATAAGTATATACGGTACTTATAAGAAAAATCACTTTTTTTTATTTTTGCCTGTCTTTCTGTTTGTTCCCGCAAATCTCCGACATGGCTGGATCGATTTTTATGGGACTTTTACTGGCAGATAACCTATTATAAGGAGTAACTTAGGCTAATGTTATTTGAAAAAAACAATTAGGATTCCGTACAACAAAGTTAAAATCCATGAAATTGCGAAGAAAAAGTTAGATAAGCGAGTACCTACTGGAAGAACCCGAGCGAAGCAAGGTTAAATCACTATGTCGGCGACGGAAAACCTATCTTCGAGTAACGTGTGTATTAATATAGGGATAATGTCATTTTAGCGTATTATGAATAATTGTTGTAAATATGAAATCTCATTCTTATTAGATTTATTATGTTAAAATAAGTTCTAATTAGTGTAATAAGGTTAGTTTAGAGTATTTTTTGCTTATTTGAATCATATAAGACTATTTAACATTAATTTGAAAGGAATAGGTACGTAAGTAAAATGTTAGCATATAATTACGTAACTTGAAAATGAGATTTTTTGTTTCTTGCAATAGCATAATAGTTTATGTTTTAAATAATAGATTTTATTATAAAACTTATAATAAAACAAGAATTAGGTCGATAGGACTATCCGTTCAAAAGTTATAAGGGAAAATGTATAGTAAAAATGTAGCAACCTAGAAATTTAGATATTTTTGTTTTAAGACTTTTTTAATTAATTATTATATATTGAATATTATGTTTTAATATTGTATAATAGTATGTAAGGCATGTAAATAAATAAATATGTGTAAGGTGTTTTACTGAAAACATAAAATAAAAGGACTCTCAAGGTTTCGGTTTAGGGAAATTTTACTCGAAAAAATGAGCTCAAAGTACGCGGCTCTCTGTAAGGTATTAACGGGCCAAATAAAAGGCGAGCCATTTCTCGATTCGAGTCAGTCGCAAGACAGCCACCGAAGAGGCAACAACTAAAAGGAAAAGGAAGAACCGAAACCAAGAGAGAAAAAAGGAAAAATTGTGTTTTTATTTCATCGCCTCTAAGTATAGTCTCCTGTCAACGAAGAAACCCTAGTGGATCGGGACCCAAGCTACGCATTCAGGGGTGCGTGGTGGCGTACATTACCAGCGAACGGACATACTGCCGTGTACACCAAGAACGTCTGGGAGATTGTCCCAGGTCGACCTCCGGGTACTAGACATACCCTGGTTCTGGTCGTCCGAAACAGTTGGTCCTTCGAGCCGGATCCCTGCTAGAAGAAGTTCAGAAGAAACAGAAGATTGCGTTCAAGATGCCGGTAACCAGGTCGCAGAAGGATGCCCCCTCACGTCCCGGGTCCCGTCCTTCAGATAGGGATGCGACAGATGGAACGTCGGGATCAGAAGGGGTCACGTCAGCGTCGGCGTCATCGGGAACTGCAACTACATCGAACACTTCTGCGGGTACCACGACCACGGAGGGCACCACAGTGATGGAGACTACGGTTACGACTGCAACTACGGCGGCGTCTATGGAAGGCAACAAAGAAGATGCTGCACAGAGGATGACCAGGAAGAGCCAAGAAGATGTACCTGGAAAGGATGTTCAAGGCTCCTCCAAGACCCTGAAACCGATGGGGGTCAGTTGTCGCGCCAGGTCCACGAAGACCACGAGTTCCTCGGCCAGAAGACGCGAGCTAGAAGCAAAGGAAGAGTTGGCACGCCTGGAGTTGAAGCAAGCACAGGCTGAAACTAAGCTAGCCCGTGTCAGATTGGAGATGGCACAGTGTAAAGAAGAGGACTCCGTGGATGAAGACCTGGAAGACAGAACAGCACAGGTGCAGAACTGGATCGAGACGTCTGTGCTGGAGGATGGCAACAAAGTTCAACCAGAGATGCGAGGTCCACACCCCTTGGAAGAGCCACAGAAGATGAAGCCTGAAGAGAACTCCTCAACGAGAGGAGCTACGATTGAAATTCAAGCACTGACGGCAGCATTGAAGGAAGCTCTTACCACGCGAGGACCAGCAGGACAGCCAACCTACATTCACGAGTTACCCTACTTCGACGGCAACAGCAGCGAGTGGATGGCCTTCAAGGTTGTCTATGAAGATACAGCACCGATGTTCAACAACGTCCAGAATATGGCTCGGCTAAGAAGAGCACTGAAGGGCAACGCAAGAGAAGCTATCAAGAGTCTGCTGTACTCCGAAGCCTCTCCGATGGAAGTGATTCAAGCCCTCAGAAGAAGATATGGAAGACCAGATGCACTGGTGCTGGCAGAGTTGGACAAGGTCAAAACGTTGCCGAAGATTTCTGAAAACCCAACAGCGTAGCGGCAATAAAAGGATTGAAGAAACCACAGTACCTGCATTCACCTGAGATGGTGAAACAAATTATTGAGAAGATGCCTACGATCCTCAAGTTCCGATGGTACGACTTCATTGAAACAACAGAAGAAGGCGAGTTCTCCGACCTAACACTGGTGTCCAAGTTCCTGAACAGAGAAGCAGACAAGTGTGGAGCCTATGCATCAACAGAAGAGAAGAGCGGGTTCAGACGGACTCATCGACAAGCAA